TTGAATAACAGCTGGCGGATGCCCCCTGGGCACACCATTTCCCCTGAGCTGTCAAGCTTCGTCCCGCCTCCTGGCTGCTGATTGGACCATCTTCAGAGGCGCTAGGAAGGCGCCGATTGGCCCCCTAGAGGCAGCGGAGCTCGCTGATTGGACAGGAGGCGGGACGCACAGCCAAGCCTCCTCCCAGCTGTTCCGTGGCCAGCCAATCAGGGCGAAGCCGGCCGGCAGAGGGCGGGCGGGCTTTTTGAAAATGTTTCCTTTGTCTGTACACTATAAAAATGCCTAGAAAACTCTGTAAAACCATGCTTGTATGTGAATGATCACTGCAATCGCATCCTTTTCAGCTGAATCGCAGAAATAAACGCTTCGGTCACTGAACCTCTTCAGCCTCCGGTGAGATTAATTTTTAATATTTTTCGCTCTTTGGATTGGCTTTCGCTGGCTGCTCACCGAGGTCAAAGGACCCCTTTAGCGGTCTTCAGGGATCTCTCCCGCTGGGAGACCCCCCCCCCACAAAAGAGCTCGATATCAACTCTTTGCGGCCACTATTGCGTCTGCAAAGAACCGTCCGGCTGAGCTGTTCCGAATTGTCAGAGGCCTTTTAAATCCCACCACTCAAGGTGGGAACCCTGACGATTCGACTTCTCGCTGTGAAGCTTTTGCTCAGTTCTTTGCAGACAAAGTCGCTTTGATCCGTTCTGGTCTGGATACCATGTTAATGGCAGTCTCTGAGGATGTAACACGAGCACCTGCTTGTCCAGTTTTGATGGATTCATTTCAATTGGTGAACCCCGAGGATGTGGACAAGATACTTGGAGGAATGAGGCCAACCACATGCATCCTGGACCCCTGCCCATCCTGGCTTCTAAAGGAGGCCAGAGGGGGATTGGCTGAGTGGGTTAAGGTGGTGGTTAATGCCTCCCTTCGGGAAGGCAAGATTCCAGCGATCTTAAAACAAGCTATAATAAAACCGCTGTTGAAGAAACCATCACTCGACCCCACTAAATTTGACAACTTTCGGCCTGTTTCCAATCTCCCCTTTTTGGGCAAAGTCTTGGAACGTGTGGTGGCCTCACAACTCCAGGTATTCTTGGTAGACACGGATTATCTAGACCCGGCACAGTCTGGCTTTAGGCCGGGACATGGTACCGAGACAGCCTTGGTCGCCTTAGTGGATGATCTGCGCCGGGAGCTCGACAGGGGGAGTGTGTCCCTGTTGGTGCTGCTGGACCTCTCAGCGGCCTTCGATACCGTCGACCACGGTATCCTTCTGGGACGCCTCGCAGGGATGGGTCTTGGAGGTACTGTTTTGCAGTGGCTCCGGTCATTCCTGGAGGTCGATCTATATTTTTTTTTGGTGACACCTTTTCAACCACACACATTTTTTGTGTCGGGCGTTCACCCAATTTCAAT